TTCTTTCTCTCTTTATAACGCGGTACTTTGCGATCCGCGCGCGACGCGAAATGCAGCAGTTTCAGCATTCCTCAAAATTGCACCATTGCACAATTGCGCGGAAACCTCGATGTCCAATAGTTTTCCTATGCAACTCTAACAATCGCAGTAATTTGTTTGAAGGGCGCAAAATACACCTGTCTCGGCTGATAACCGATAATTTCGGAACATTAATATCGCGCGTCGGAATATAATCGATTTGGCCGATTCATTAATATCGTAAACTCGCACGCTGTCGACAATGGTCGACGGACGTTGACCATGACATAAAGCATGAACGCCGCCCACGGGAAGTGGTTTCTGACCGCTGTGGCTCGTCGTCGTCGGGGGTAGATCGGGAAGAGAAAGATTCTCTCCCGCACCACCCGCCCTCACCCTGTAATTCCCCGCTCTGCCATCGTGCTCGCGCACTTAACCCATTTTGTCTCGAGATCCTGCCTACCTCCCGGAAAATACGAGCCGGCGAACGAGGGGAGTATAACGATCCGCGGATTCTCGACCGATTACGGACCATTTTGCGATGGAGTACGGAAGCGGACACACGCTTAATGCATGCTGTAATGCGCGCGCGGAGGGTCGGGACGATCTTTCGGTCGAGAGATGCGATTTTTCAGTCTCGTGGTCTTCCCTACCCGGATGGTCTAAATCGCGGATCGCAGTGCTATGTTATAATGACGCGTCACACGGGCCAAAAATTTATTGATGTGCAATTAATGCGCCATTAGACCGCGCGCGCGCGCGCGGGCAGGGGAAATCGTCTAAAGGAAGAAACGGGCAGAATTTCTTGGCGGCGGCATAGCAGAAATAGTACACGATGCGACCGCTTCACTTGAATTGGGTTAATGATCGCGGCAAGATGATTTATAATGATTAAGCCGTCGCGCCTTCGTGGTACTAGAGGGTAATTTTTCAATGCTTCAACGACAGTAGATTAGGTAGAAAGCAATAATTCCTAATATCGTTTTTTTGTTAGTTTGCATAAAAATGTTAAAATCCTTAAAGACATGACCTAAATTGCACGAAAATGACGGAGCGATTCAGCACCACCGCCGCTTTTCATCCAAACGACAAGTCGTTTGATAAATTTGGAATCGATTCTTCGTAGAACAAATCTTCATTCGAGAAATTAATCATTTATATTTATCTGTAATCTCTTAATAATGCACGTAAAATTATAACATATGATAGTAATAATATGAAATTTTTATTATACGTTTCTATTTATTTAAAACTAAATTTTTAAAAAATCCTCTTATTCTCGATTAAATGATATATAAAATAAATTTATTGTTAAGATTTTTATCATTAAATGTACCGTTTGTCAGAAAGAAACGGCACAAGTTTCTTTGAAAACGTTCTCCTAGAAACGTTCTGATTGACTTAATCGACGCGCGCCTTTAATTTTCTCGATTTACTCGAGTCTTAAACGCTCGACTTCTCAGTGGAGCTCTAGAGAATCGGTGAGACGACTTACGATGTCTGGAATCTAGAGTCTTGGCATAGACGGAATTAAAGTAGGATTATTGGATCCGAAGTTAGTTTAGTACCTACAGGTTTCGAAGGATTTTTACCGATGCAAAATAAAAGTCACCTTGATTTGGGACCCTTTTGAAAAAAAATATCTATTTTATTTTTGATAATTTCCATATATAGAAATACATATATAATATATATATAAAAATATGTACATACATATAAGGATTTATAATTGAGAAAAAATATTGATATAAAAATGTCGATCAAATATAAATGTAATCAAAGTAACAAAATAAGTTTTCACTTAAAATTTCTTTTCATATATAATAGCTTTAGAAATACATAAGTAATAGATTTTTTAACTTTGTTCTTACATAAAAAAAACATTAGAGGAAATAATGTCGCTACACGGTACAGAAGATTTTAATTTTTTTCCTTGTCGATAGTGACTGCACTAAATACGAACGGCGCGGGAAAAAGTGAGGTGAAATAAGCAAGTGCACCCAGTGGGAACAAGGTCGGAACTCTCTGGCCTCTTCGCAGGACGGCTCTGGCTAATGTCAAGATAAATGCGATTTCCTGGGATGGGAAACGCGAAGCAAGGGGTGATGCGGGGGCGCAAGAAGAAAAATATTGTTTGCCGCGAAAACTGGGGCGCACATCCTGAAGAAGGGCGTTGGTGGTTCGACCACGAAGGGGGGGACTGAGGTGGAGAAAGCCAAAAGCGCGTCGGCTCTCGTGCCGGAGCAGCTTGCCAAAATTTCCAAGGCGTGTAAGATTCGTTTTTAGAGCGGAATTAAGGGAAGGAAGCTTTTAGAATAGGGTTACTTAAATCGGGTCACAAGAATCCTCGCATGACTCGGTGGAAAAGTACGACGAGGTCGATAATACGATCGAGCATACGATTCTCGCATTACATTTTCAGCGGCAGATGTTATTATTTATTCACGAAGACATTTTTCGCGATATGTGTTGTCTTCTTTTCCTTTCGGAAATATTACTTTGCATTTGCTTATTTGCTGTTTCTCTGCAAAATGAAGGAACTGTAAAATATTTAATAAAAATCTTAAAAGGATTCTGAGCAAACGCGCCTTCCATTAGTGCAATTTCCTTTAAGATCCTATATAATTCTAGCAGAGAAGATTGATACTCGTGAAAGTGCTTCGTACCTATTTACAAGAAATTGAAAGCTGAAAGTACACGAAACATTTATTATTGCAATCTTCAAACTTTTATATCTTTAATAATTGAGCTATTAAACTTTTCCGCCGCAGTATAGCTAGTAAACCAATTGAAAAAAAAAGAAGCGTATATACAAGCAGAGAGCCTAATTGTTATCACTTCGTGATGCTCCTTGCCGGGTAATTATTCTCGAAATATTCACGATCGCTCGTTTATTGAGCACCTATTCTCCCCTTGAATATACGGCGATTCTCTGAATTCCATTTATTGGAAGGACCCCGCCAGCTCGCTGTTTGCATTCAACCAGGTATTGTTGAGCTTTCGCGACTATTTTCTGGGATTGGTAGATCGGCGGATAGAGCCAGAGAGTGTTGCCATCGCGATCGCTCAATGTCTAGCGCATAGCTCTAGGCCAAACTGAGGACGACCTCAGGAGCTCGTTATCGTGGATGAATTCAATGCATCGCAGACGACAGCGAGCGACAGCGAATTCAAGCGACGCTGGCTTAGCCGTGCTCGGACCATTCATCTTGCTTCGGACGGTTGTCCTCCCGGTAATGCCGAAGATACCGATCCAAGGAGGCACCAATGCGGATTCTATCGGCGGAAGTTACGCGTCTTTCCGCGGATATCGGGTTGGTTTATGGTCATTTCTCCCACGACTAACAATGCAATCATTGCATATCGGCCACATCAAACTGTTGAGTATTAAAAAACTCTTTGAATCTGAAGAATCTTTGGAAGACATAGAAAATAAAATAGATTTAATTTAATGATAAAGATATGATTACAAGTTGCCACATCACGCGAGTGCCCAGTAAAAATAATAGGTTATACGTTTCTGCAGGATACAGTGTATTATGCATTCTGATAAATAATTAATTAAATAGACAAAGAAGACTTTAGTATCTTATTAAGTTTCTTTGTAATAGATAATACTTTCATTTATAAAGTTTATGAAGCTTATAAAATTATATGTTATTTCTTTGTGTAGAGAAAAAGTTTTTTATATAGATACACTTGTAATAATAAACGTTAATAATATTTTGTAATTAATTTATAATCCTTGATTTCGTAATACAAAAATATTATTTATGTCTGTTAAAAATATTATTTTACAATTAATAGATTTCCATTTCCATTTTGAGATAAATAATTCAATTTGTGTAATAAGCCATTAATATTAACCGGACGAGAGATTTGATTTTTATTAGTCACTCTAATTACTTTTATTAATCTTTACATTTTATTTGAACCGGCGGCATTCGAGAATCTTCAACGTTATAGGAGCACTTTCACACAATTTCCCTTCTCGTACCGCTTTTGGCGGTAGTCTCTGTGACCTCGAACCAAATGTATTTGGCGTCTCTGCTTTAGGAAATATATCGGTAGCAGAATTAGTCGATTTTTCTTCATGCCAACTGTCCTCGAATTCGTGTTCATTCGTTACGAGACGCCGGTTTCATGTGGATCTTCCCGTGTGTTTCAACAAATTTCAGCAGATTTAGAAACTAGTTTACGAGTTGGTGCCCTTTCACGAGACTGCACTTGGGAACCTTACGTAAACTTTTGCATAAACTTCTTCGGTATGTCTGCTTGTAAGCTTTAATAATTTCATTGCGTAATTTACTGGTGAACTTGACGCGAACGGCAAGTCGCGTAAAACATAAAGTTTCAAATGTGCTTGCTAAAGCTTATCCTATATTATCTGCCTCCAACAATCACATATAACACACATACGAACACACACATAGCAACGTGAATTCATGTCATTTTGTTATACTATATATATTATACGTTGTCACTTAAAGAAAAAAAAGACCAAGATTGTATCGTTATTTTTTAAATTCTTTTTAACCCGTAAAGGACACCTCTCTTTTGAATGGTTTTGTTTAACACAAAATTTGAAAACAATTACGTTCTTTTTTCGAAAATTTAATATTACCATTCGATTGGTCAGACAATTTTACATTGAAAAACACATTTTGCTTTAATTTTGCTTCTTATTTTCAGAAGATATAAAACTTTAAAAAAATTCGCTTGGTGCGAATTCGCACCCAGGTGTCCTTTACGAGTTAATTATCAAACGTAAAACACAGCAAGCGATATTTAATTTGCAGAATGTCAATTTCGCAATTCGTGCCTGCGTAACTTTGTACGTAGCGAATTATTTGTCGGTGTAATGTTTTTCTTTTTCGTTTTACGTATCGGGATCGTTTTGTTAATTATCGCCAACGAATTGCAATTGGCGATCAACTGTCGATTTGTGTGCCTCATTGACAAAGCGAATAAACTTGACTTACCCTTTCTATATGGCCGCCACTAACGACCTCCGGCGTGTTAACACAGACTACTCTTTTCAAGCGAAGTTTGTTAACGTGGAAGGCCGAGCCGTAGCAGTACATCAGCACCATCGTCGTCGGGAAATAAAAACAGCAACACGCCAGGATCCTGAAAAAGGAGATACGATAAAGAGCATTTTCCGGTCCAGGAAAGCAGTAATTAGCGCGTCATATGCGAGCGGGGATATAAAGTGGCAAAGATAATATCACGCGAACGCAATAAAATCATATTTATACAAGTAGATTGCGCGAAATCTGATGATACGTGCGCGAAGTTTATTAGTATAATACGATAAAAACAGTTCCACGGCCATGCATCTGTTTTAACTTTCTCCATTATAAATTACTGTAATTAATATGCTGTTGTAATACGCTTTATTCACGAAGGTTGACTCTATCCCGAGGGCATTTAAATCAACTTTTTTTACGTTTGATTTTCAAAGCAACGTGTTACAAAAGCCGTGATATAAATGGACCATTCTGTTCGAACTAACGTGGCGGGATAGTTTCTAGAACTATCAACCCGACAAAAACATTATACGACAATTCGAAGAGACGATATCTTTTGTATTTAGCACCGGTTTCGATCAGACTTTAAGCGTACCGGAAGGGAACATTAACGCGGATATATCGCTATCTTTCGCGGTTGATCGCCTCGGTGTTCCCCGAAGGCGATCGACCGCGCGCGACGCGACGCGACGCGACGGCGCGCGTTCCTCGACGTTAAATTGTAATTGTCTGCAATTGGTCACCGGCGGTGGTGGTGAACAAACGCGGCGGGCGCAAGATCGTGAAGTGTCAGGGCTTATCACCGGCGTTCAGCTACGGCGGTACCTAAGGGACGCTCTAGCGAAGAAGGGATCGCAGGCGAGGAGGCCGGACTCGTTGAAGTAGTAACCGCCTCTAGGGAGTACCAGAACTCCGAAAATTGCCACGCTCGCTATCCAAGTGGTCGACATCACTGCCACACAGCCCTGCCGCATGTAATACTGTGTCAACATAGAGAGAAAACGATCACTTTTTCTCGCCCACATATGCCGAGCGCGTTTTATAGATATGGCGCGCGTATATATGCGTACGTGTGTATTTGCCTGTGTATTTCTATCGGCCAGTACCGAGGGTTTGTTTGCATACGTTCCACATTTCGTATAGTATATCACGCGTCGTTTACTCAAACGATTACTTACACTGTTTTTTTTCTTTTTTTTTCAGAAATTTCAGATACTGCAAACCTTCAATTGAAAATACGCTTGAATGAAATATTTATGTAACAAATAAATACTGCAATGTATTCTATTAAATATACAAATATGTAATATAATTTTTTAAACAGCGATCAAAGGAAATATGCAAATAACCTAGCATATAAATATATCATGTTGTAAATATTGAAGCAAAGTGTAAAGAAAGCAAATATAAAATTTTTGCTATTTCTCGAGAATATGTATATCTTAAATTAAATGTATATTCTTAAAATTCGCATGTTTCATACCATGCTCTAATGACATTTATTAAACGAAAATAAAAAAGACATACAAGATATAGATTTATTTTTAAAATTATATTTAATTAAAATACATAAAATTATGAGTATTAAATTTGAAAATATCTGATTAGAATTTAAAAGTTTTATAAATGTTAAAGGTTATCTTTTAAAAATATCGATTATTTTGCAGTGGATACAGTGCACATCTTCAGCGAAGTCACCCTTCTTCTGATCAAATCTCCAAGCAAATAAAGAAAGTTCCACGGACTAGTTTTATCGACGGTCCACTTTTACGGCACAAACCCGGCGTGTTAAGTATTATCGAGATTAACCTCGTTCTGATCTCAGAAAACGATCAATGGAATGACACTCGACCTTACTGTTCCCCAAGGTAGTAAGGATCGATGCTTGTGTACTACATCTCCTGTTTTTCCCTTGTTACAAATAAAATCCGTTAAGTCAAAAATATATTATTAAAAAAATACAAAAATATATCAAAGTACATCAAAATATCACAGATGCAAGAAATATCAGAATTTTTATGATCATAAATATTTACAATGAATTATTTTACTTTTCTGTTTTTTTTTTTCATTTAATAAATACAAAATATTGCCATGAAGTATGCAAATTTAGTATGTAAATACACTTAATTTAAGACATATAGTCTTGAAAACAGGCAAACTTTACGGTTTGCTCTTTGAGTTTTCCCTTCTTCATGTTTAACTTCAAAATTTACAATTCATCAGCACGTAAAAGCTTTTATGTGTGTTTTCGTATGTCGGGAACAAACAAATTTTTATCCCTAATTAAATATTTATTTCTTAAATTCTATACGGATTACTTAATATATATATATATATATATATATATATATATATATATATGTCAAAATTATGTCTTAAATTAAGTGTATTTACACATTAAATTTGCATACTTCATGGCAATATTTTGTATTTATTAAATGAAAAAAAAAACAGAAAAGTAAAATAATTCATTGTAAATATTTATGATTATAAAAATTCTGATATTTCTTGCATCTGTGATATTTCAATGTACTTTGATATATTTTTGTATTTTTTTAATAATATATTTTTGACTTGACGGATTTTATTTGTAACAAGGGAAATATATAATACAAGGAAAATATATAAACAAGGAAAATTATAATAATGTTGCAAGAAGAAACTTAATTGAATGCGCGAAAGTCATAATCACTATAATAACGAATGATATTTAAAGAAATGCTGAAAATACGTAAATAACGGACTCGCACATAATATAGGTACATAAATATATGTCATTCCAGATGTTATTCGCGTTGAGAATCCCTGAAAATACTAGATATCGAAGATATTATCGACCCGTGTAAATGGTGTAAGGGCCGATATTTGCCACGCATTATGAACATCAGAAACAAAGGGCTAAAGACCAAGTTGCTGCGAACTTTGAACCAAATACTGGCTGCATACGGTTGAATTGCACCAAATACGGCTAAAGCTGATGTAACACGAAGCTCTATCTGTGAACTAATATAGTATGATAAGAGCGAATGTGAAGTCAAAATCGCGAAGCAACAGCCTCTATCGATCGGACAAAAGAGACAAGAGCCGAGGTCTGCCAGAATTCAATGAGCGGCCAGAACGTTCGATAGGCGGAAAATTACGGAATGAATGGGAGACACGACTCAGCGATTCGTCGGACGTCTTTCTTTTACCTCTGATTTTTGTACGTTGTGCTTTCTTTCTCACTTTAGCAATTGTGCAAATAGCAATTCTATTATTCTATTCTCCACTGTGCGATTACATTCGATCGATGTGAATCCATTGCGAAGAGAAAAGAATAAAATAAAGTAGTACGGCAATATCATTAAAACACATATCGATTCTTTGTGATAAGAAATTATTCTCACAAATATAAGTTGTAAATAAATATAGTACACAACATATTCACAGATATGCATATATTGCAAACTTATAAATCTTTAAGCTTTCGTCTAATAAATTCGGGCTATTTGATCGCGCAGTAATTGAAGCTTAAGAGAATAGCAATTTAAAAATCGTACAAGGTATAGGAAAGTATCTGTAAATAAAAATTTATAACGTCCGATAAATTAGAACAACGATAAGATAAAATGTAGTCGACGAACAAATTGCACATTTTCCGAAACAAAAGAAGAATTATAAGAATGACGGGAGATATATTGAAAGAGGTAAGGTGCAAAAAGTCCAATGTGGGTAGCGCTGGAAAACCGCATTCTTTGAAATCGGCGAATCCGTCGGTGGTATACATATATAGAACGATTCAGAATTACCTCGCATTTCTCTTCTTACTTTTGATTACTTTTAAAAATTAAATAATTTTTCTTCTATGTGACTTTTTCCTTGAAAAGCGCTTCTAATAAGAAATTAGTAAAATGATCTTAATCAAACAATTGATTCTTTTTATCTGGGTTAAATCTATTGCGTTATATATTTTTCTTAACTACTCGACAGAGATATGAAAATACTTTTGAACCGCTCTGTACACTTTTGTCTTCGCTACACGTAGATTTCGTCCTGGTTATGCGATTCATTGCTACCGCGGGAAATAGGAGGATACGTGATAGGCGAACGAGTATCCGCGGTGGCACTTTGCATTCTGATGCGCTTTTAAATCTCCTCCCGAAATTTATTTTGGCGATTAAACCAAGGCGCGTCCGAGCTTCGACAAACCGTAGTGTGAAACCGCGGGTTATATTATACGGATCGCGGGAAAGGATTCTGCTAATATCGCTCGCGAACTTTGCATCAGTTGCTAACGCAAAAGTTACCTTTGAAGTGCTCGATCGCTTTCGTTGCCGTTCGCGGAAGAGGTGATGCAAAATTACTGGATTGTATTAACCCGCGGTAATCGATAGACGGGAATTTCAGGAGTAATCTAACAGATTAAGAGCTTCCCGGCACGTTCAGACAAATTAGTTACAACGAGCTTCATATTTAAGTGAACTCTATATAGTGAATTGCCGCACATAGTATTCTTTATATATTATATCACATAAACCGCAATGTATCCAATCCGCAGTCCATAATGACTTTTAGCATATTACTTTTTCAGATTTTATTTTCTATTAAAAATATTTAATATGGGAGAGCTGAGAAAGAGAAAAAAAATATATGAACAATGTATAAATGTATAACGCGATTTTTAGTCATAAAAAAGAATAAAGTAGAGATCTATGCAATATTTCATTTTCAAAAGCAGCGCGAATATATGCGCTTACTTGATTTCTGCATTCTTTCGTTATGCTAATAAAACAGAAACGCTATTATTTTTATTTCATCGCTGAGTAACGTGAGATATCCTAGAGATCCCAAAGAGACTAAGAGATTACTTTTTGAAATGGAATTCCTATTCTCTATTCTGTTAAGCCTTCAATCTTTTTTAATATTCATTTCAATGGCTTGCATATCTAGATTTCACGCATTGCCACGTTATACACATAGATATGTGTGTGTATAAAACTATATGTATGTGTAATATATAATGGTTTAAAGGATTGAAAAAGATGTTTCACGAACGTAATGTAGGAGTATCGATATTTTAGCTGTGCCGATATTAAACCTCCAAAGGCAAGGTATAACGAGAAAAATCTTTATCCTCTAAACTCACATGATTACGGGCAGCGAATGATATCAGATTGGATCTTATGAATAAGATGATTGTAACGTGTAACGAGAAATGTTTCATTCTCCATTCATGAATATCGTCAAATAACTTCATATTATATTCATGAACGAGATGATTGTATCAATAGCCGATTCGCGATTGGTTCTATTTTCTTGTGAATTCAAACGAATTGAACGAGTTTCGCTAATATACCTGCCACTTTCATTGAGCAACAGTTATTTTAATTTGAAACGACAATTGTGTGCAATCAATCAACCTCGATCGTTTCACTTCGATCGTGTTTAACAAGGACAAATTCGTTGAATAGATCAAATGAATCAAGGAGAGCCTGCATGAAGAGAATGAATCTCCACACAGACAGAAGAAATATTTGAAACGAGTGACGTCGATTGGTACGAAATTCCGTTTGAATTATAAAAGTTGGATTTATTTCTATTACAGCAACAACTCGAAAATGATAATAATAAGAACTTTTCACGTATTTTACTTTTAATAAAAAAAAATATAAATATGTATATTATTTCCATTTAAACATTTGTAATAAACTAAAGATTACTTTATTATATTGAAATAAAAATAGGAAAAGATAAATCGCGCTGATATAGACAATGCATCATACTCAAAAGATGATTAAAATTTAAATATTTAATGTTAAAGATAAAAGGTAGATATTTGAAAATAAGAGAAATTTATATACTTAATAAAGGCTATCTAAGTAGTAGAAATTCTGCAAAACATGTAGTGTTAAAATGTTATTGTAGAATCGATTAACGAGTAAATGTGTAAGAGTCCATTAGCAGTTAACAGTTTAATAGTTAGTGGAGTGAATATAGACAGCAAAATAGCTTACCCTTTTAGAAGAGTGCTTGTGATAGCGATGGGGGTGCAGCATGCAAACATAACGGTCGATTGCCATGCAGACGAGGATAACAGCGCTCTGTTGAGTCAAAGCGCCCCTAAGAAGTGCCTGGAACAGTAAAAGTTTCCGAAAGAACAAACGAGATTCTTCAGATGTCGCACACCTCTTTTCTCCCTATCTCTCTCTCTCATTCTCAGCCTTTTCAAATAAAATAAGTTACCACCTCTTGGAAAAGTGCATAGGTCGACAAGCAGCGAGACAAGTCAGATAGGCGAGAAGTTTTGATGAGTTGAAAGAGCATTGGGGAAATCTAGTGTTCTTGTAAGCAGCGTCTCACAATCATTCTTTTTCTCACACATTTCTTTTTCTATACAAATTATCGGTTAAATATTTCTTATGAAAAAAAAGAGTAACAAGAACAGAGATTACACGTTATATTTATCGCCACAAACACATTCAAATGTTAGTAATATTAATTTGTATAGTAATTTAATATTGTAAATATACGTATATAATGTAAATAATGAGATTCACAAACCATAGATTAATAATGATTTTGCGCTTAATTGAATTGTCAATTGATTAGCTTATCTTAGAGATGTATATCTTTCCAGCTTGAATGTAGTAAAATAATCAGGATTTTCACCGCTAACACAAGTGGCATGCAGCTTGCGGTATACCGCAGATGCCACAATGCTTTGCGGTAATTTTGCATCAGACATCGGAATTCGCACGAGAATCATCGTTATTCTAATTTGAGGGTACGGGGAACAGGTACTCGTAGTATCATCTAATTAATTGCTATAGGCCAACAATGGAGATTGGCTTTAATTAACATTATAGCGTCAGTAGCGTCACTGATTATTTACGCTGATGTCTCGTGTAGACGGCGTTACAATTACGCCGCACGCATTTCGCTGTACGAGGAATCGTTTGTGAGCTTTATAAACCTGATGCCCGGGTCCGTGCTGTAATTAAATGTCACGCCTGAATAAAAAAGGACCGCATTCATCACCGCGCAATGCTTGCTGCTTCCGCGCCGTTGCACGTGTCTGGCTGCGAATTTTAGTCCGCGATTAAATAGTATGCAGTTTTTGTAAATTCCGTGCAACAGTAGACACTACGGTTAAAATTGAATTTACACATGTTAATTGCAATGAAATTATAGAACATAATTTTGTAAATTCTAGAAATTAATAACAAACATTATTATCAACGGTAGAATACAGTCAGTTTATTCAACAGTTGTAATGAAATAACTAAGGTAAAAGAACTAATTAGTGTGAGTTCCAATAGTTTGTTACATTTCAATTGGATACAGGATATAAAATCAGCTTCTCTTTTAATAAATTGAAGAGCAATATGTACTCGTATAGCTTCTGACGCTTCTAATCAGAAGAGAATCTTTATCAGAGATTACTTTGAGAAAGTATTGTTATTTACCAATTCACGTTTATTTATTGACATTGCGCATGTATCGCTCGAATGGGTGATATGTAGGTAATAATGTATAATTACAGGCACATACTGGGTCAATCTCTCGTAGCTCGATCTACGAATGACTGTCGACAAACGTTAATTTGTTCCTAAACGTACATACATACATTACACGAAACAAGCTGTCAGACGGCGAGCAAATTGCCAGCAGGATCACCGCCAGCCATTTCATTCACAATTGAAACCAGCTCTCTAGGATTGAGTGCAAGAGAAACGTATTCGCAATTGCAAATTAACGTAGGTACATTGTCCTATTTTAGAAATTTAGAATTTCGTCTTTCATATTACCATTTTTTTTATATATTCAGATTAGTCTTTAACATTTTTGAAAATGCAATAAAACACAAAGAGAAATATATTTAACTCTTTAACAACAAATTTTCAAGTATATGCTATTGTTTTTATAAGTTTGCTAAGCAATAAGTCAATATTTATCAAAATACCTGAAAAAAAATTTTATCTGCCAGCTTAGACAATTTTTTACTTCTAAACTATTAGATACTATTAAAATAAGTTTCCAAAAAAATAAAAAATTACCTACATATGAATTTATTTCTTGAAAAAGGTTAAAAAGTAAGGTATTTATACATGTAAAGTACAATACAAGTACAAAAGTGGCACATTTTATAATTCTCTGGTTCCGCTAAAGTTGAGAATCAAGAAAAGAAAAATAAAAGCGCGTATATATAAACATATATCATATAACGCATGCCCGTCTACAGCGTATACATTCAACCGCATATTGAGCAATCTCGTAGCTATCTACTGACATCGGCCATCGTTTTGAGTCCGATACGTTGGACTGCCTCGAAGCGGGACAGTTGGAAATGTAACGAGATGTACACTATCGCAATTCGGGACACGCTCTATCCGGCAGGTGCCGGGCGAGACGGGAGCGAGACAGTGCAGGGGGTACGATTCGATCTCTGGAAAAGGAAAACGATCCCAAATGTCGCGGGAGCCGCTGAAGGCGACAGCTTGATTCGATGAATTCGGTGACATTGCGGTGTTGTACCCATGAAGAAACGACAAGGCGCGAAGGGTGCGAGTGCACCAAGTATATACGTTTAAGATGGTTACCATGGTGACCGTTGGCGTACGGCCAGGAAAAAGCTCTGATAATCTAAAGGGGCCAGGATCGGGTCTGGCCTCATTTCGAGACCGTCACCGAAACACTCTCCCGGAAGACCTTAACCGAATATTTTCGCCACGAGCTAGCTAACTTACTTCTGCGGAGTATAAACCGCTTATAACCCTTTGCCGACGTCGGTGTCCTCATCATCGGACACCGACAGCGCCCGGAGTGACTTTAATGGAGCATCCGGGCTAACTTTTATTTAGCCACGATCGGAATAATTGGTATAACGAGTTTGATCCCTCGGTTCGCCGCGCCGAGAAATACCGTCGAGAAATAACGACGCGAGCGCGCGCGCGCGCTGCGTCGGAGCGCTTCGCAAAATTGCATTTACTCTGGAACGACCTTGGGTCCCCCGATTGCAGTGGCGCGCGTTACAACAGCGCATCCTTTTAGCGGATAACGCCCGCTTTTTGTCGAAATTCGGTGGCGCTTCGGCGAAGCGCCGAGCGTTCAATTGTGAGAAATTTCACAAAACGCCAAGCGTAAACAACGGGGAAAATAAAGTTAACAATCAGACAGAGTTGACTTTTACATGCCTCTGGTAGTTTTCAGATGTCAATGGTTGGCAACGATTTATTCCATTTCCATGGGAGGGAGGGGGGAGGAGGGAGGGGGGGGGGTGTGTGCACGTACCGCTATTGAGAATTTGAAGCACATCACCGGCCACGTCACGCGCACAAAACGTGCCGTATCTCTCATAGAAATTCGCGCGATCGTCTCTCTCTTAACGCGATATAATTCTTCACTCGTCGTCAATAAATGAAACGGGCATCGGGCATGACGATGTGCGACGGCCGGGGCGTATATATACATAGGTACCCGGAATTGTGGAATATTAAATTCGCAATCGGATTACTGCCGCGGCGGAGAGCGAGAATTTTTCAGGTCAGTTTATCGCCGGCGAAAAAAAAAAGAGAGAGAAGAAAACGGTGTCGCGAGGCGATGAACGGCTTTAGCGCTTCGGCGACATCGTTCTGATAAGTAACGACATTACGCGGCTAAATGCAGGTAGCGAGAGCGTTGGGAAATTTAGCCAATAGATGATTTGGAGTTTGTTTTATATGCACCGACTGTAATTAGCGAGCAAAACTTTCAAGTGAATTCCACCGTTCATTTTGGGGATAATATTGTAAATGGAGAAGGATTGAATGTATTTCAATACACTTAGGAAAATATAGGTTTTTTTTTCTTATCAGTATTCATTGAAATAAAATAATTGTTTCCCATTTACATGGAAAGTGGTTCAAAAGAGATCGTTTTGAGAATTGCATCGAAAAATGGTTTTATCAATAATTGCTGTATTGTCTAAGGATCTCGATGGTATCGAGACGTGCTACTAAATGCATTACAAGCAGCAGGACCGCCGTAACATTGTAACAAACTAACAACTGTGATTGCCTTCAGTGATTCCATCCTGGCGCATCGCCGAGCAAGAACAAGCGGCGTACCAGTTTATCAAAGTTTACGATTTGGTTTCTATCGAAATATCTCTCCCCGAATACACAAATCCATCGCGGCCCGGGGTTATCGTTTAGACCCGGGAGATTTGTTGCTACTAAGAATAGATTCTATGAATATCAAGTGGCTAGAGCCGGAATTTGCCATCCTAGGACGCGCGAGAACGACACATCTTCGTGTCATCTCACCCTCTTTCCCGACGGAGCAATTGACAACGCGCTGTAATCGACCCGTACTCAATTATGCTTCTCTACGGGCGATACGGGCGATGCTCGATATTTTCAGCGTGCAACGTCAAGAGCCAAAACTGCATGTTTCAAGTAAAAGATTAAAAAATCACGGTATTAAAAACTTCAAAGTGTGAAATAGAGTTTACAAGGAAACTTGTTATTTATATACTTGTTTATCCATATTTGATACTCTCTTGTTACTCATTTATTCCTTTCACGGAAAAATCGACCCCCTAAAGCAGTGTAGTTTTTTTTAGCAAAATTAGGTATGACATGAAATATCGCGCATTGCGTCTTTTTGTATTAACTGTTAAAGGATAGATAAGATATGAGAATAATGATATGTGGTAAACACAATCGAAGGTGTCGAAATAAAGGCGTTTTATTTAATAATTCGGATAGCGTCGCTCGTTATGTTGTCACGGATGCTCTTCCGACGTTTAAAACGGCCGGAATATAATTAATCGCCCGTTAACGCGGTAGAATATTAAACACTATTAATGCTGCAATGTGAATCGAAATGTGAATTATAATACACAATTACACAAGCTGTTAGTCGTGAGTTCGATTCAGTCCTACACAACTACCGTATCGTTGCGCCAGCACGACGGAAAAGAATAAAGGACCGAAACTGCGGACACACGCCACTTTTATTCACCGATCACGTAAAGTTTTACACGCTCGTCTGGAACTTTACTTGTTTGCACGTTCTCTTTCTCACTTGCCGGCGCGGCGGTCTGGCGCGCTGTCAACACACCATCGTTACGCCCTGCAGGGTTAATAGATTCGCACGAGCTACTCTATTCTACCGGAGTTCCCGTGCCTGTGTCGAGTACCTACTTTCGTTCGTCTATTAAGAGTTATTAATAATTAATGAGATCGCATGGCTCCGCGTTCATTGCGTTTACGACGGGTATATAAAATATCTTTTCGGGGGGGAAAAGGAAGAAGAGAGAACTTTCGAGAGAAAATCTCGAGAGATTTTGAGAAGGTACATATAAAATATGGAAGGAAGTGGCGTGCACAATTTGAGATATAACAACGTACACGGAGTGTTGTATCACACACGAGAGATGTAAGCAAGAGCATGAGACAAGACTTCTACTTGAACTAGAGACGTTAACCCTCCATCGTCCCATATCCATTTGAGAGATATATATGGATAAAGGGACTAGATGTAAGAAATACACGCGAATATACGTCGCCAAGAAGGTATATGCGTGTGTTGTAGAGATATTACTCTTATGGTATTATTAGATTCCAGCAGATGTCGAGATCCTTGATTTTCTATTTCAAGAGTCGATGGCTCTCGTAAAGTTTTATAGAATCGTCCGCATCGAGTCGTGTCTGAATTTCTACGCGGCTATTACATATTTCAATCGCACGTATATTGCACGATCTTTCGAAATACATCTGCTATCAGAGTCATGATATTTTATCTGTATATAAAAACGATCGTAGAAACAAATTGAAAGGATCATCGTGTATTTCTTTTTTTCTTTGCATCGTATTAATGCACAATAGTAATTATTTGAGATCTACATGTAGAAATATTTGTTTCGTATAAAAAAAAATTAAAATAAATACAGAGATTTATAAAAATTTGTATAGAACGTATCTGTCTTACATTATATTATCCTGTTTTTAAAATTTTTTGAAATTATGCAACATATTATTCTAATTATCAAATATCTACGTGCATCTGTTTACTAATTCTCTGCCACCTGCTTTCTCTCAGTGTGGTCTCACTAATTATACCACGTTTCCACCAAATTTGGAATCTATTTCTAGCTACACGAGGACTTGCCCTCTTCGCGCTTATTAATTCCCTTTGGTTACCGTGTCTACTTGTTACCGCATTATCTTTTATTCTTTTTGGTCCCTTGCCCTATCGCTCATCTCATTCTTTGTCACGCTCTTTTTAAGATAGAATCCCAGAAAGTGTTTTAAAAATGATGCTAGTTATTAATGTACACGTTGTAAATGAATGAATCCTTTCTACTATTTCTAAAGAATATACTCTTCTTATTTTGGAAACTCTCGTAGACCACTCTCCGTAAATTCTGATTAAAAATAATATCTTCTTGAGTCGAATTTTGTCTATATTTGCTTTGATATGATCATTACACATATATTGCAATCGCATAAAACGCATATAATACAATTTTTAACTATAGAATTCTCAAGAGTCATTGCTGAGTTCTTCACAAAACAAATGTAAGTTCTTTATATAGATACAATTATTTACTTTTAATTTTACTCAAAATTAAATATATAATTATTTTATTTTATTTGTAACTTTTGTTTCATTTCTTTTGCAAGATTTGACCGAGATATCCGGCGCTTTGATTGCAATTTGTATGAAAACAGTTTTTCTTTTTTGTTCTAATTGATAACTATATTATTTGCACTAAATTAGCACTTATACTTTCGATATTCGATTAAAGTGATGTAGCATAAGTATAGCGAATCTCGATGATAACGGACCATGTTTTGACATAATGTTATGCGCATCTCTAGAGATGCAAAGCCGAAACATCGGAAGACATCAACATCTTAGATATCAGAAAGGTATTCCGATATAACACGACGTATATCTTTGCATATCGAGTCTTATCGGAAATGCTGCAAAGATGATTTGTTGTTATGGGTATGGCTATAACTTATGATATTCAGATAAAAATGTTCTATTCTCTCTCTCTTTCTCTCTCTCTCTCTCTCTCTCTCTCTCTCTCTCTCTGTATATGTATATAATATATAAAACTGATGATATATGTTAATATTTCTATCTGTTACAAATCTATTATTTTTCTATTGTTTTTTGTGGACAGGAACATATAAATATGTATATAAATATAAAAATAAATTAAAATTAAGTTTGTTTAATTAAACATTCAATTAACATTCAGCATTAATCCGATTACGAAAAAACATTAATATGAATAAAGCCATAACATAAAATAGATTACACATGTCCTTTTATGAGAAAATCTCTGTCGTTGTTAAACTTTTGTTAAATTTTATTATTTGCAGTTAATAAAATTAATTATCTCGATATATTTTGTTACGCAAGCATACAGAAATGCGTACTACGTATCGTTGTGAAGTTAATTAACAGCATCGTTATTAAATAATCAGAGAGCAGAGTGAAACAAACATATTACATGCCGCATTTTTATTTATAATTAAAAAATTAAACTTCCTGACATACATTAAATTGTGACACGCGAAAAATATTTGTCATAAATTGCTTATAAAGTTGAATTTAATTTATATATATATAACTTGTGTTTACTAATTTCGCGCAGGGTATTACTGCAATTTCCCGTTACGGCTAGATAAGCAAATACCACGAAATTCGAGGTCTGCCGACGAAACGGCGCACTCCAGAGTTTAGCACGTGCGAAATGAAGAAATATACGGTCACAAATCAGACTGCTACCTCAGAAGATGGCGTAGAGGACGAGGAAGGGTTCGGAGGGAAAGGAGCAATGCGTAAAGATTATCGCCAGGAACTCCGATAACGTCGCAGCCGCCGACTGGTAGAGGAAATGGCGGAAGAAGTACCGGCTGCCGGAAGCGCAGCCACGAGTTTCAAACGATAATAATTTCCTGCCAAGCATCGTGAACACCATTTCAAGATTTCCTATAAATTCCACGATTTCTGGCAAAGAAAAGCTGTCGAGGTTATTGAACGGCTCTTTAACGCGCAACGCTATAAGTGATGTCGTAATTTTCAACGTTATATTTAAGCTGACATTCATTATGGCGCAATATACAAAAAAAATCATTTGATATATAAAATATACAAGTTATTCAATTTTATGTAGCGTTAATTAAAGTACTATAACAAATGTCGATTATTATACAGTAAAACTAATTCAAGACTTGCATGTGGCAAATGTTCAATATTCAAAAATAAACGTAAAACTTTATTAAGAAAATAGTGATATATTATAAAAGTTACCTGAATTTGACAGACAACTTCGCCGTACGGCCAGCATCCGTAAACAGCTGGTAAGAAACCGAAAGGCGTCACTAAAAGACCAATCGCCAGATCGTTACTCGCTAAGCTCGTCAGCAAATATCTGGGCTGGAAGAAAATTGAGGAGAACCTGTTGATCGTCTTGGTCAGTGTCAATGGACGTCGTTATCGAACGGTTGAATTGTTGTGTAATGTACATACGCAACATTAGCTCCGTCATGAGGCGTGTAGCGAGAGAAAGGACTTAACGAAAATTTCCTTTAACTAACTGTAGACTGTTTCCATGAGCATCACACCAAATTAATTTACAAACTGTTTCAATTAACTTCGAATTAATTTTACTTATTTATTTAATTAATGTTTGATGGAGACTTACGTGTGCAATAATAAAAAAATTAATTTTTTACACCAAGTCAAAAATATATGTTTCCAATTGTTAAAGTTGTTAATGTAGTTTTAACCTTCAGTTTTTGCAATATTACTTTCTACTTCCGGCAATAATTGTATGGAAATGAGAAGTTACCTTCACATACATATTTAGTAAGCTTTAGTAACTTTTACATATACATAAATTAGATCTGAGAACGCGAAGTACTAGGTGGAAGAAGAAAAACTGCGAAGGAGACAGAAAGAGCAATACAGAAAAGTTAAACTTCATTAGCGGCAATATATGCAATCGCGCGGCAATATACACTCCATATAGGAGATTGCATAAGTCCCGATAGCAAAGAGAGATATATGATTGTTGGAACAACGATTTCTCGAAAAACGTTTAAACTAACGCAGGTTCCGCAAACAAAGATTTATTTTACGTATCCGATACATTATAGAAGTGTCAAATCTATATATTTAACTCTCGAGAAAGATTTACATATTCATGTGGTGAATCCATGAAAATCGATGAATGCTAAAGAATGAAATTATATATTTTTTTATTATAATAAAGATGTTCCGACGTCAAAATAATTTATCTGTTACGTTGTCAGAAAACCTTAATTAATCGAATAAATAAAAGTTGGAACATTTACTAATGTACAACTTTTTTTGCGAGTAATCAGTAGTCTCTACGAAACTCGGTGCTCATTTAGAATCCCAGAAACATGACCGTCCTGTATTTCGTACAGCTAATCACTTCAGACTGATTTACATAGGAGGAAGACGAGAGGAATGGAGAAAATACCGCGGACCCTTCCATCACGGACTGTGAATTATGGCACCGACTGAAATCTTTGTACATTCGCGTAACTGATATTTTACCTACCATAATCCTTTCATGAGATACAAAATAAATATAGTATTAGTCTCATTATATCATATATATTTTGACATTAGCCTTTGTTAGTTAATGCATTTCTAGATCTGCATTGAATATTCCATTTCTATCTTTCAAATACACAATACGAAATTTTCAGGGAAATATTTGTATTACGCTGTTCGCGCTGTTCTTTCCAACATATTCTTTCCCGAGAGTTTGAGATTTTTATAGATTATTTAATTACTATTATTTTACGATAAAAACAAGAGAGGATCGACATTTAAAATTAAACAAGATATAAATTTTGTCAATAAAAAACCGAACTTATTCCAATTTTTGAAAAGTCGTGTAACTTGCATGTACTAGATACATCAACTACTTACCTGAGCATGAATATATTTAGTGTACTGTCTGCTATTGATAACACATATCACTAGCAAATTGGCGCACAGGATACCAAGGCTGAGTAGTAGTATCAGAGTAGCCCGCACCAATTCTCCAGGACCTGGACCTGTCCAAGAGGGATCGGACGTGCCGTTTCGCCAACAACTGCTGTTGCTCAGTGAGGGTGCCAGCAGTATCGTCTGTTTGTGTTCCATCATCATCATCGTTTGGTCGCTTACTTCCCCGCGCGATTACGGTGCCGAATCCCCAGACGAGACACCCGTGTCCCGTTCGAGGCACACGTACTTTGTACGGTTCTGAAAATAATCTTTTTTTAAATAAAATCTTATTACACTTTATTATATAATTTTTATATACGGATAAAATTTTCCAAAGAAAAATTCTTATAATACATGTTTAATTCCATATAAAATCTTTAAACATTGCAATTTCACGTGCAATTTCGTTTGCATGTTAAGATAAGGCGAAACTTAGTTATTATTTTCGTATTGAATGACTCTTCTGGAGATTATATTTTTCATATACTTTGTATATATAAAGTCTTCTTTTAAAAAAAAATCTTATTATACTTCATTATATAATTTATGTACAGTAAATTTTGAAAGAAATTTTATCGTATATTTACTTAACTGCACATATAATTATATAATTATAAAATGTTTAATGCAATTTCATTATATTAATTGTTTTACATACATGAGTGAACTATGGATTATACAAGATGTCAATCAATATATTATATCAATAAGAGGTCATAATTATAATAATATTATGTATTTGTAGTATCTCTTAAAAATATTGTTTATTTCTTTAATTGACAAAAAAAAATTGCAAATTGTTATTTTAAAACTTCTTCTGTCAATAAAATTTAAGGAGACAACTTTTACCAAATATTGCAACATACTTTTCATTCCTGTCGATCGCGAATTTTCGAGAGCCCGCCTTGGTGATGGCCAACCAGCTTTTTCAAATACTGTTTCTTCATCATCAAGTTTTAAGAATCCGCACGATTGCGAACGTTTTGAGCGCGTCTAATGACGCACTCGAAAGTCCGCTCGCGTCTCACGAGTCGTCAGTACGCATTCGTAAAACGATGTGTGACTTCGACGTGCGATTGGTTCTTGATACGCGATATGCATCTCAGCTTGCATCCACAGCATCTACGGGCACGCGGGTGAGAAGACGGGCTCTGAGAAAAGAGAAAAATAAAGCGGATGAAAATCAACTTTCTCCGAATTCACACTTTTGCATGAGCAAATTACAAAACCACGATTATTGTTTTATTGCCTATCTACCGAGTAATATTTATGTTAAGATAAGGCGAAAAATTTAATTATTATTTTACATACCATCTAAAATATTCTTTGGAGGTCAATCTTGAGAATGGAGGAAATTTGCGAAAGTGGTGGATGCGGAAAAGAATATTTTTGCAAGCCAGAGCAACGAGTTCAAAGATTTAAAGGTGAAAAAATATATAATACTACTCTATTTAAAAGATGCATATTAAATATCACATGAAATATAAGAATAGACTGTGAACTTTGCTGTCCCGTAAATATGTTACAGCTACACATCTACACGTTAAACTGTAATTAATCTTTAAATTCGACCACGACCCTTTCCTTCAAATCGGCACTCTCATTTTACACCGAGAGCTCTCTAGTTCGCGGGATCAGAAACTACGTTTGAAACTCGTACGTTTCGAGTTTGCGACGTTTTATTTGCTCTTGCCCGCAATATTTCCAACAATCAAGCGTACGGGCGCATCCCGCTACGTTTCCGGGAATTTTATTTGTACCGCGTAAACGAACGAAGCCGTTGGTCCGCGAACTCGACGTTGATCGATCGCGCGCGTCAATTCCGTTCGCGTTGACGGTGAATCGATGATGCGTTACACTACGTCGGAGCCGAATAGATCCCCGCGAATTCATACGGATTACGCTCTTCCGTAATAAGCACGGTCGTTCGAACTGTGCATAATTAATTGTACACCTTTTATACGTAGATCGTATATGGAGAAGGGCCACTTTCTGTTTTCGACATACCTACACCCGTGTAATTAAAATTTAAAAGAGTCTGTTTGCATCCCGCGTCGAAGTAGCGGAAATGGAAAAATTAATTGGATATCTGTGCAGATATCGAACATTTTCTTTTCACCGCAAATTTCGTTTAGAATCGAAGCCCGCAGTACTGGTTAACATCAGTTTGATTTTCAGGTGATAATTAATGCATTGACCACATCCCCCCCTTCGCCCGCGCGTGAATGCGCGTGCAAATATTGAAAATTAATGTATTAAGCCGCTTACTGAGAGAAGCTAAAAGCTGCAGACTTTATTTTGTACGCCTAACAGGTGTGACTGAATTAATTAAAATTATTCGCTCTTGTTATTCATTAGTTTGCAATTTCGTTAATTATATATAGAATCTCTGTCATAAAATTTCACTCGGGAATGTAATTGATAACTACACATACTTGTTTAATCTTATAACGTTATACTTGTTATTATTATCATATAGCCAGTGACAATAGGTTTTGAAAGCACGGAGCAATATGTTATATATTAAATTTTTTTTATTAGAGAAACCAGAAAAAAAAAGATTTTAGAAATATGAAATTCTGTGGTTTTAATCAGGTTCTCGCTATATCGCTTCCGCTAATTTCAAAGCGCATATTCTCTTTGTGAGAGATCACAGTCATATGATTTATTTACAAAATTCGCGGCTCCTCTTCGTAACAAAATCTTACAGTTACGCAATGTAGCTGCTACAAGCATATTGCGCACAGATGTAACTCTTTTATTAAACCGTAATTTCAATGAAATAAAAAATGCGAATTCTCTCGAGAGGCCAGGAATAGGAAAATTGAAGAAAGAGTAAACTGTAACTTGTAAAATTATATTTGTAAAAATAGTAACAACGATTCTTCTGAAATAATTTATTTTTAAAAATAAAATAATAAATACGATTACAATTCCATTTAAAAACACTTTTAGGTTAATCAACGTATATAACGACAATTTATAATTTATTATATTTTAATAGTTACACACAACAGCAACATTAAATGCAATAATTGTGTGATATACGAGAAAAATATTGCAGGATTACTGTAACATGTATAAAACGTTTATTTTTCAAACAAGAAATATGTGCATATACGGCTGGCGAAGACGTTTTTCAAAATAAAAAAATTTAAAAAGTATAATTGAATTCGCCAGCGTACACAGTTCGAGCACGGTATTGTTTACCGCATCCTGAATTGGACGCAATGCATTTTCGCGTTCATTATCTATTTACGGGCTTTATTTATAAATCACATCGACGATTAACGGCGTGTATTGATTATCGAAGAATTCGGTAACCCGTTCGATTGCGAGATCAAATCGCTCAATTAATGCTGTGATTCGTGCGCAATCGATAGCAGCGTTTGAAAAACGAGAAGGTAGCTAACGAGCACGAGATCACCTTCGGCGATATTAGATGGTATAATTAAAAAGTGGACCCGGAGGGGGGAAGATCCCATCCCTCCCGCCGGCTAGTGCTGGAAATTCCTTTCTTTCATCCACACCTTTGCGAGGATTCCCCACGTTCTTTTCAGTAATGATTCGACAGACACCGCGTCCCGACGTTAGAGCCCACTCTATTCACGTACGTATTCGCGCCTATTATTCACACCGTTATGCTTTAGGCTTCACTGCCGCTATTCGTTTTGCATATATTAAAGCAAAGATGCGGATGGCATGTATGCCTTTATATCGCTAACAATCCTTTATGTATAATAGCTTATACTTCACGCGAATAAAGTGTATTAATATATATCCATTCATAAAAGATTCTATAGAATATATCACACTTACTTTAACGTCAAAGTGGTAAATAAAATAAAGGTAGAATATACTTTGATTTCTACCGCATTTCGATTGTTGGAAAAATCAACTGTCGTTTTTTATACGAACGGTTAACGCTCAATATTCAGAACTGGCTGTCCACATTCTGCGCCTTTTTCACGGCACCTGTTAAATTATTGTTGGCACGCAAAACTTTTTGCATTCAGTGGGCAACTATTCATTCAGAACAAATGGCAACTAACTTGTTTATCGAGGAAACTGAGCTCGTGGGCTGGTTGTTGCACGATCGGGCCTTCGATTTAATTTACTTGGTGTGCAATCGATAAATAATGTTGACTTGCCAGCTTTCTCGTTTTCACGCTTGGATAGAAAGGCGAATGGAATGGAAACGGTCTCGCATGCCGTGTATGTACATATTCACACGTATAGACCAATACAAACACGCCCGCTTTTGCATTCTCTATGAACAGCTTTCGCACGATCGATACGTCATATATTTTACGCACACGTGCCCGCGATCGGCGAATAAAGGCGAGCAGCTTCGTTTTCCTGCAATTACACGAGCAAACATCGCATCGTTATTTCATTAAAATAACACGTGGAAGGATAAAGCCGAAATTTCTCTCCAAATAATTAAACGGATATCTGTAAAATATTTAATTAATATAAGATAAAGTATAGAACATTAATTTTACAGTGTCTTGATTTTTCCGGTGCGTGTCACTAGCTCGTACATTTTTTTAAATTTCGAGGTAACCAATAATTTACGTTGATAATCGCAAATGGCACCGCTAAATTGACAAAGTTGCACGTAACGGCGTGGCAAATTTTAATGAATCGAACGAGATTATCCACAGTACTGTTCACACGATAATCGTAAATTTCAGAAATGCACAGAGCAAGCAAGCGTAACGTTTAAATCACGGAATCTTTTGTTAACGTAAACGTAGAGCATTAAACCGATTATTTGTAGCTAGCGCATACGATAATGTAAAAATGTTTGACATTCTGCCTTGCTGTCCGCTGCGATCCATCATTTTTTCCATTTGCCCTTAATCCCGGATCTTTTTTTTTTTTATACATCGCGCAAACGATATTGCAGATTGCAAATGGCAAACGCGAATATATTAGCAGCTTGAGTGTGCGCTAAACTGTCCGCGGGGGCGCACGTAAGATAAAACTGTTGCAAAATGAATTCAAAAGTTTCATTCCAACTGCGCACTGTACATTTCTTCTGTAGGAAACGTATCCAAACTTCCAGAAGTTCTTCTCGTTTCGGGTTGTACGGTATATCATTTGCGAAAACAATGTTGGTCTTACACGAAGAGTCTACGGAATATTCAAGCGCCGTGACAAAGTAGAATATTCTAACTTCCTGACGATGTCAGCTTTTCCCGCTTTATGTATACTAACGGAGATATGCTCAAAGTTATTCGCGCGTCTTACTTCACGAACTTTCCAATATCGCGTATACGCATATGTTTTAACAAAATGAAAAGAAGATACAATGTGTGCTTTCGATTTTACATCTTACTTCCGGCGCGTCTTTGTATCACTTTTTAATCCTCGTACACTACCTCTTATATGCTCTTTCTTACTTTTTGAGCTTATACATTTGCGTGATGTATGATTAATCGACATAATTATTATGGAATCAATTTTCGATTATATTCCTATCGTGTCATTTTTACAAAATATTAAATTTCGCTGAGCACTTCTCGTGCCCATTTTATTCTACTCTGCAACAATTCCATCCAATTGTGTACAATTCCAATATAAAGAACGACGAGGCTGTTCCTGCAACGAGGTGACAGAACGCAATATAGACATAATGTAATGGACAAAAGAAATTCCGCGGGGCGAACGCGGTTGGCCGTTTTCCTTCGGAGGATGCGAAGTTCAAGTTCGTTATAGTTGAGCGACACGGAACAGATAAGAGCAGCGCGCACTGATAAGTCGCGTAAGTAAGTTCGTTGGCGGGACCGATTCGTATCGCCGCGCGGTACCAAGACGACTCCGGCGGTAGACTCCTCTCTAAGAACTTCGCCGGCTGAGGCACCCGCTAGCTCGCAGTCACTTGGCCGATAGCGGCAGGAAGGCGAGGGCACAACCGACACGGCGGTCGGATACAGGGTCGCTCCGCGACTGCGAGAGGACGGTAGGGAGGGGGATTAAGTCGGGAATGGCTTTATTATGTCAGAAACTACCACCCAGTCGTAACGACAGAACGGAACTCGTCGAGTACCGACAATTTAGTCGCACCGGCGCCGGATGCATTTAGATGGTGGAATTAAAATTTTTTTTTCGTGAACGGCGGAACTCCTACCATCGTTCCCTGCCG